GTTGAAGCGTCTCCCCACAATGCCATCTTCCCAACTCACCAGCTCCTTCCAGGCAATGCTCCTCTGGGTTGCCACCCCGAGGAAGGCCTGAAAGTCCTCTATGAGGGGTTGGACCTTCTTCACAGCGGCACCAAGTCTGTGGAACCGGCTCCTGGTAGAGCTACACCTGGCTCCCTCCTTACTAACTTTCAGAAGGAAGCTTTGAACATTGCTTTTTAGTGAAGTCTTCCTCAATGACCCTGCCTGATGTTAAACCTCATGCCCTGCTCTTATAGAGACAAGATGCTTTGGGGCCATTGGTTTTAATGTTCCAACAGTTTTAACTTGTTCACTGTTCAGTTATATGTTTATTGATATCTGTACATTTATTATGTTATGAACTGCACAGAATAGTGAGTGCACTGCACTAATGGGGCAGTGTATAAATCAAATCGAATCAATCAATAAAATTCGTAGTGGAGGTTTTCCTCTTCCAGTGATCACTTTCCATATACTGTGATCAATCACAGAGGAGTGAGGTTAATATGATCCCCTTCTAGAGTACTTATTCAAAATGGGTAACAAAATCCCTAGACAGGAATATATGTTCCTAGAAGAGAAAAATGTACTGAACCTGCTACACTATCAGAAGAGTGAGCACACAAAACAATAGTTAGTAACCTGATGTAACACCAAGACTGAATCTCCATACACAGGCTTAATTCTGACTAAATGCATATACATGGTATGATTGCAGTAAAAATCAATAACATTCCCATCCAACATAAATGTCAGAAAACTCAGCTGAAAGGATTTCTATGCAGAAAGATTACAGTGCATCCCATGAAAGTTAACAGTTCTGAAAAACACACTGGTATATTTATTCATTCATAAAAGTCATCATAGGTCTGAGGAAACTTGAGGACATTTTATGATAATGTAAAAGAATTCACAGAAGAATAAAAACAGTCACAAGTCTCTAGAAAATTGCAAATGGAATGCATGACAAAGCAACAACCTTATTTTATTTATTTATTTAAACTATTTTTGCCCCTCCTTTCTCCTTAAAAAGGACCCAAGTGACTTTTATCATGAAAAGTCAGTATTTAAAGCTGAAAACAGTAAGTTTATTAAAAAAAACTAACAAGGATCAAACCAATACTACACTAAATAAAATGTCAATTTGATTTAAATCACATTCACAATTTTTTTAAAAAAACCCTCTTTATTATTTAAATTGTGATTTAAATCAATTTAATTTTTAAAAACCATTGATTTTTATCCGCCCTGAATGAAACACCAAAAATACATTTGAAGCAGTAAGGTAAAAAATCCATTAAAAAAAACACTTCAGCAGTCAATTACTCAGAGAAAGCCTGCCTGAAGAGAAAGGCCTTCATCTGCTTGCGGAAGGACAGCAAAGATGGGGCCAGACTGGTCTCCTGTGGATGGAAATCCCAAAGTCTGGAAACAGGAACGTGTCCCAAACAAGCGCAACTGTGAAGATGCCAGGACCGAGACAAAGGTTTCCCCTAATGGTCTTCACCACTTCAGCAGTCAATTACTCACAGAAAGCCTGCCTGAAGAGAAAGGCCTTCATCTGCTTGCGGAAGGACAGCAAAGATGGGGCCAGACTGGTCTCCTGTGGATGGAAATCCCAAAGTCTGGAAACAGGAACGTGTCCCAAACAAGCGCAACTGTGAAGATGCCAGGACCGAGACAAAGGTTTCCCCTAATGGTCTTCACCCAGGTTGGCTCATAAAGGGAGATGTGGTTCATGAGATAGCTGGGACTTTATAGGTTAGAACTAGCGCTTTCAATTGTGCTTGGAAACAAATTGGCAGCCAGTGGAGCTTCCCACATGTACCAACTTTCATCTTCTTCAAGTGATCCAGCCAAAAGAATTCAGGAATGCTACAGCTACACAATACTAGATCTTTCCAGTAGCAATACACAGCTGAGGAAGGCCCTGTCAGAAAGGTTTATCTGCCACTTTGTGCCATTTACACTGTGCATTTTTCTGCATCAGGTCATATCATTTTTCCAACATTTTTAGTCTTCAATGCATGGTACAACTTTTTGAACTGCTGCATTGCTGTTGCCCTCTGCTCTCAGCTTTAGATATGTTTCACTGTGTAGTTGTTCTGTTAGACACAAAATGTAATATTAAGAAACTACACTTTATTATTATATTTTCTTATTTTAGCCTGCCTTTCAGAGATGATGATCATGTGCCCCACCAGATTTTATTGGGACTACAATTACCATCGGTAATTGGCTGCACTGGCTAGTTGTAACCAAAAAAAAAAAAAAAAATCTGGAGAAGCACACATTTCCCTGCCCCTTGCTTTATTTTGTACAACATCCAGAAAATGTTGGTTACCGGGTAGTATGGAAATGGGGGGGGGGAGGGAACAGGACATTTTATTTAATTGTTTTATGTTATTTTGCGTTATTAAGTTTTTTTAACATTTATTTAATTGACATCCATAGTATGACAATGCAAGTTAGAATTGTAGTACAATACTATCACATTACTTATAGTCTATCAGCACATTATCTTTCTTTACACATCCACTGCTTCATATTTTAACATAATCAATTCTTTTAAAATATTACACCCCAGCAATCCAAATTATTTCCCATTTCATATTCTTCTTTTCTTGAGCTAATTCCATATGTTAATAATGGTTGCCAGGTTTTCATAAATTTACATTGTTTTATTTTCCCTCTATATATTTTAATTTGATTGGTCAACTTTTCCATCAGGACCATTTGCCAGATTCTGTCCTCAAATTTTTGTACTGAAAGATCTTGAGCATTTCTCCAGTTTTGTGCAATTTCAGCTCTTGCTGCACCAATAAGATGTGCAATTAGGTCTTTATTAATACATTTTTCATTTCCATCCTTAAATATTTAAAATAATAAAGCTTCATTTTAAATTATTTTTTAATTCAACAATGTTTCTATCTAATTATTTTCTGCCAATATGCTTTCACTTTGAGGCAAGAGATACACGTGTTCTAGTGTGCCTTTACTTTCACAGTTTTTCCAGCACTTATCTGAGATTTCTACTTTAATTTTGTGAGATGCCAATACCATCTATGGACTACCTTCAAACCATTTCTTTCATTTAACTGATATTGATTTATATGGATATGTGGTCCGTATTTCCATCCATTATTTCTCTGATATACAAATTTGTTTCCCATGTTATTGTAGATCCCATACCCCTGGGAAATGCTTTCTCAACTAAATGTTTATACATTACTGAAGTTAGTTCCTTCCTTTTATTTCAATCTTTTTCTATACTACATTGTTCTAATTCCGTGAGCATTCTCATAGGTCCAGAACTGTGGTATAAATGAGTTACCAAATTTCTTACCTGTATTAATTGTAACCAATTAGTTTTTATTTCCTTTGTTTTGTCCTCTGTCTAATTGTTATTGGTTTCCCTGAATCAAATAGGTCTCTTATTCTAGAAATTCCAGTTATTTTCCAATGTTTGAATTATATATATTTCTCTCTTGATTTAAATTTCAGATAATCCTGCATGGGACATAGAGGGGATAAAGTATAGGCGGAGCAAATAATCTCATGGATTTACGCCGTATTTTCAATGTTTCACATGTATAAGGATTTTGTACTTGCTCCTTCTTTATAATTTGTTCCACTGTGAAAATATAAGTGTTCACTACATCAATATCCTCATCTCTTTCCATTTCAACCCAATCTGGGATTTCTTCTGCCCATATAAACTTTATTATTTATTCAGTTTCTTAGTTACACATGTTATTGTTTTCATATTTGGAAATAATTTTGTAAAAAAGAAAATACTATACAATACATATTCACCAAACATCAGCTACACAGACAGGCAGATGATACCATAATGTGCTCTGGTACATTTATTTGCTAGTTGAATAACCAGACACTACAACAGCCATTCTCAATGGAGGCTATATGATCCCTTGGGTCCCACTGGCGTATTTGAAGGAAGCCACAGACTGGAAACAATTTTTTACACACACGGTCATTATTTGATTTAAACAATTCTGATTCAGCCTATATTTCTTTCTTATCTGTCTACACCTGGGGCAAAAGAAAAAAGAAAAAAAAAGATGAGAATGGCTGCACTATAACACTTTGACTATAATGTGAAAGGCAGAAATCAAGGGACAAGATTCTTTCATCTCTTTTGCATTGTATGAAGACACACACATTAGTCCCAAAACTCATACACAACTCCTATGTGATCTTTCCTGAAAGGAAGAAAGGGGAAGGGGGGGGGAAATCCTCCTTGTCTGACAGGTCACTAACAGCAAAAGGTTTGCTAAACTTAACATACAGCTGAAATAGTACACATACATCTATTTTCAGAGTCCATTAGACATTATACCACAATAATTTATTTTCCAAATTCTCCCTATATAGTTTTTTGCCAAAACCCTGGTGTGAAGGCAGATCTCTCTCTCTCTCTCACTCACTCACTCACACTCACACACACACAGAGTCTCTTCTCTGCCTCCCCCCTCGCCATAGCTTCTGTGCCCCAAATTGCTGAGGGGAAAAAAAAAAAAGATTCCCCGGATGCCCTGAGGCATTTAGAGATGTATCAGTCTCTTCTCTGCCTCCCCCCTCGTCATAGTTTCTGTGCCCCAAATTGCTGAGAAAAAAAAGATTCCCCGGGTCTAGCAGTTTTCTCCTCCACCAGGGTTTTCTCCTGGCAGAACGTCCACTTCTCACGGTGCTCTGAGCCCCACGAAGAAACAAAAGGTGGGAAGGAAGCCTCCTAGCCACGTCCCACAGCATTCCCAAACAAGGACCCCCACTCCAGGCCCAGCTCTCAGGAAAAGAGGGAAAATGCGGGCCTTTGTGACCCAGAAACCAAGCCACGTCCCCGCCTCCACCTCGCCGGCCCACAGTCCCCCTTCGCCCAGACCCCCTCAAAACAAGGGCCGGCGCTTCTGCCCGTCGCCGGCTGAGTCGCTAGGCAACGGAGGAGGGGGCGCCGACATTACCTCGTTTCCGCGACGGGCCCCGCATCAGTAGCCGGCCCGCGGCTCCAAAAGCCTCACGCGTGGCGCTCTAGGTGCCTGGCGCGTCCTTCATCACACGTGACGCTGCGTAATGACACGCTATTGCTATGCGTGAGGGGGGGAGCGTTTGTGCCGCTTCTGCGCTCTGGGAACGGCCTCGCGCCCCACGGCAGGCAGCAGTTAGTCTGAAGGGACTTTTAGAGCCGCCATTACGCTGCGTGGGGTGGGTGGGTGTCAGCCAGGACTTCCGTTACCTGGGAGTAAGCTCCATTTTGCCCAAGGTGGCTTACTTCTGAATAAAAATTTATAGAGGTGTGCTCTAAAACCCCTGTTTCTATCAGATCATAGCGGTAATTGCGTTGGCAGTCACCAGAGTTCACTTGTTTTTTTGAATCAATGAGAATTCCTATAGCTGTGGAGCTAAGACAGAGATTTTTATAATGACACGTGTTCCTGCAACGGACTCGCACCTTTTGAGGTTGGGGAGGTTCACTGTTTCTCCTTAGGTATGACCGTTGTAAACTGAAAAATCTGCACGGATCACTAGATAGGAATTAATAATAACGTTTATTTATTTAAATAATTTATATGCTGCTTTTCTCCACATAGGGGGACCTAAGGCAGCCCACAACACATGAAAGAACATTAAAAACACTATATAAGTATCACGTCTAAAAATAAACATACATTAAGATTTAATAATAAGTATAAAAACAATTCAGAAACATTTAAAAACCTATAATTGAAAAAACCAGCATTACTGGGATAAATGAACTAACTTCTCAAAGCAGTGCATCCCAAAGCCTGGGAGCAGTCACTTGGGAGGCCCTGTCATGCCCTCACCAAGCCTGCTTGGGAAGCTGGTGGAACCAAGAGAAGAGTCTCCACAAAAGACCTTAAAAGCTGATAAGGTTCATATGGGGTGATACAATCCTTCAAATAGCCTGGAAGAAGAAGAAGAATTTTTGGGATTATTAAAAATATTCGGAAGTTCTTGAAGAAAAAAAATGGAAAACTGTCTTAATGGCCTATGGTGAAGGACTTGGTGAAGTTAGCATCAAAATAATAATATTTCAAGGGGATTTTTTTGTCGCCACTGCTGTTTGACATCTCAGTAATCCTCATGTCAATAATTTAAAATAAAACTGCATTGGGCTACCGTATTTCAAAACAAGCAGGAAAAATCAATCCATCAATCAATACTGTACATGGATGACCTAAAACTATATGCAAAAAGTTCCACAGAGATAGAATCACTGCTAAACACAGTGCAAATATTTAGTGAAGATCTCCAAATTAAATTTAGAATTGGCAAATGTGAGGTTCTGCCTATACACCTTGTAGTTGTTTCGTCATTAAGTCATGTCCGACTCTTTGTGACCCCATGGACCAGAGCACACCAGGCCCTCCTGTCTT